CATGAAGCCTTCTTGCCGAAGCTCCTCCTCCTTCCTTTTAAGTGCGTTTTGCTGACGCGCTCAGAGCCTCCGTGTGGCTGCAGATCAGAGTGCAGCGCATGTGTTAAACCACATCATTTAGGTCCAAATGCCCAAAATACAAAATGCATTAGTATGTAAAGCAGAAAAGCAACAAATGCTCATGTTTTATAAACGTGTGTGTGTGTGTGTGTGTGTGTGTGTGTGTGTGTTCCAGTCCAGCATCGTGGTGGAGGTTCCTGTGTACAATAAGAAGGCGACGTCGCCGGTCCAGGTCCAGTTCTACGTCACTAACGGGAAGAGAAGGAAAAGTGTGACGCAGAGCTTCACCTACCTGCCTGGAGTCAGACACCACGGTCCTCCCGCTGTCGCCACAGTCAAGCAGGAACGCTGGGAGCCAGATCGCATCTCCCAGAATCCACCTGGCTTCAGCTTGACGGCCTCGCGCAACGGCACGCTCAGTCCTGACGTGGCGTACTATGGTTCCTGTGACCTCCTGGTGCAGTGTGGTCCCCAAAGCAACCCCCATCTCCACCATCCTCACTCCTCTGCTCCTCTTCAGACCCCTTTAATGTATCCTCAGACGTCCTCGGTCCCGCTCCAAGTCTCCTTGCCTTCGCAGACCACCTTGATTCCCCTTCAGACCTCCGTCATGGCTCCTCAGATCACCACGATTCCTCCTCCAGCCTCTTCTGTCCCACTTCAGACCTTCTCCGTCCCTCCACACTCCTCCCCTGGTGGATCTCAGAGGGACCTGTCTCTGAGTCCCAGGAGTACCTTTGTGACACCCGCCAACCCCCAGAAGGACTCTGTGCTGGCCGGGCCGGGGGAGGCGCTCATCATCAAGCAGGAGCCGGAGGAGCAGCCGCCTCTGGGATCTTTAGGCCTCCAGGAGATCACGCTGGATGATGGTAGGAAGCTGGATGTTGACCCAGATTTACTCTTGATAAAAACAAAAAAGCTTCTTCCTGTTTTTTTCACAATAATATACATTTATATTTATCAACATAATATACAGATGTGAGGTCAAAGTAATTTTAATCATTTTAAATTATGGAAGTGACAGCTGTGCGATAGGACCAAAATCTCATATCCCGATATAAGACATCTATCGTCCTGACAACGATATAAATCACAAAAAGGTAACATTGTATGTAAATTCTGTGAATCTCAGGCAGCTCGACTTGCGTGAAGTGTTTCCAGCTGCGCGTCCTTTACCTGGAGTCCAGTGTTTTAACCGATGCATGAAACGATACCTCCAAAGGTTGATTGTTCATCTGGACGTAGCGTTTTGTGGGAGAAATGTTTCATCATCATCAGGTGACGTCTTCAGTCTCAGCTGACTGCAGGTTTCCAACCTTATAAACAGTACATTTGCATAATGACTGAAACCAGCCCACTGAAGGAACAATGGGCTGGGAGGGCAGTTCCTTCATCTTAATTATGCAAATTCTCATGAACATTGATCAACAACCACTGATGGCCATGAGTCCCATTCACAGAGAGTTGGGGAATGGCTGCAATCACAGCATGTAAGATGGTGACAGATGTACCCTTAGGCCCCCTCCTCGATTCAGAGACGGTCTTTCCCTTTTCACGTAAATGTCCTCCTTGACTCCGCCCTCAAACCAGCGTTCCTCCCTGTCCAGGATGTTACATCCTCATCATTGAAAGAGTGTCCACTGGCCTGTAGGTGTGAATAGACTGCAGAGTCCTGGCCTGACGAGTTATTCGTGACACAGTCATCTCAGGCACAGAAGCTCCACCTACTTGCTATTTTTTAAGGGGCAGCCAATTTGCTTAAAGGAGGAGGAGCTAAAACTGCTTGTTTCTGATTGAACTGAGGGGCTGCACAAAGACTCATTATGAGATAAAGAAGGATTATTGTGAACTCTGAATGATGCAAAGCTGCCCTGGTGGAGTCCAAGTATCAAAGCATGAGCAGCGTTCGTCTTTTTACCTCGTAAACCTGCTTGTTTCAGTCTGTTCTTCTCATGTCAGTGACACCATGTGTGCACTCTGTCGCTCTGTGATGTTGGCTGTGTGCGTGCGTATTGCGTTTGATCTGGGTTAATAATAGCTGTATTTGCTGCTCTGAATGGTGCAGGTGGAGGTTAAATTTGTTGGCACAGGCAGCAGCTGTCCTCAGGGCGTCTGATCTTCACGCTGTCTTCCTCCATAGCCTTTCAGCTCGAATTTAAAACCCCGAAAATCAGAACCCCCCCCCCCAGAGGAACGGCAGCCTGCTCACAAACTGAAGCACCTACAGGAGCTTCTCTGGCATCCCATTCTCTTTGTGGAGGGCACCACAGGGAGTTTGTGGCTTTTGAGTTATGTGACTCCTGAGAGATTGATCTGGTTTGGAGATGTGATTTATTTCAGATATTTAAATCAGTCTGTCAGTGCAGAGAGTAGAAGTGCGACATAATAAAGTTTAATGTTCAGGATGTTCAAAAACATCGTTATGCTCACCGCATCAGCACACCGGTAAGAAAACTATGACTGGTTATACAATATCTGCGTACGTGCGGCGGCTGATAGAAGTGTATTTACACGATTCTGAAACACATTAAAAATGAAAATCTGGATAATGAATGTCCTCCGTGCCTGCATGATGGACACTTTTGGTACTTTTTTATACTAAATTAGAATTTAACACCTGACCTGACCTTTCATTAAAAGATTGATAAAGTGATGTTGCCATGGACACAGCCTGGGACCCTGCTTTTACTGTCTGTATTCATGCTGGAAATCCAGCTTAAGGTTTCTGTCGTCCTTGAGGTCCTAGCAGCAGGAGCGGCGAAAATGGTGCAGTGGTTAGCACCATCACAGGAGGTTCAAAGGTTAGAACCTGCCTTTGTGTGGAGCGAGCGTTTCCCCGTGGCTATATCGGCTTCCTCTTTTTTGGTTAATCGGTGACTCTAAAGTGTGTGTGTGTGTGTGTGCGCGCCTCAGGTTTCACTGCAGAGCTATGAATAGACCGAGCTGTTTGCTGCTCTGCAGATGAACTCAGTTTTATCTTTTGCTGCTCATAACGAGCGCACTGCAGTGTGACCGCCACACCTGCTCAGCACATTTCAGTCCTGTTGCTTCATGATGTGTGAACAGTTTAGTATTTAATGGACGGGTTAGAAAAGCAGAGCAGAGGAGTTAAAGAAAGCCAGTTTGTTTAATGTGTTGCTGTTGGAGTGAATCAAGGAGCTGAATGTGATGGATTAAAGCGTTTGGAGAATTCGTTTAAAGCACTTTGTCCTGCTGTGCCCCCGTGTGGCCGTGCTCGGTACTGTAACAGAGTCCTTAAGCAGGTTCCTAACTGGGAAGGTGAAGTGGAAGAGTCTGCAGCCACAATCAGAACTAAACCTAAGGAAAGGTGCTTAAGAGCTTCCTTTATTAACTCCTTCTTAGCGCTCATGGAGACTGGAGCATCCTTCATGAAAGGAAAGCACCATCGGTGCAGGTCATGCTTGAAGCACTGATTGTGACTGCAGAGCCTTCAAATCAAACTGACCTCTGTCCAGTAAACTGTGTCGTGTTATTTTAATTTTACCCTCAAAGAGCCCAAAAATCAAAATATGGCTGGTGAATTTCAGCATCTCTGCCAACACAGCAGCAGAGAAGCTGAAATTCCATCCATCCATTCGCTTCCGCTTATCCTTTTCAGCCTATCCCAGCTGTCATAGGGCAAGAGGCGGGGTACACTTTGAGGGTAGCTTTGCATGAGTCACACCTCAGAGTAATCCCTCCTTCTTATGCTGAGCCCCACTGCAACCCCTGAGGTTAAGCATCGTTCAAAACTAGCCATCCTAGCTCCTCCCCCTTCCAAGAAAGTTTCCCTCTGATTGGCTGGGGCTGCCCCTCCCAAACAGCACGACCACGCTGCAGTCTCACTGCTTCAAAGACAGGGATCGGGTTCAGTTTGCAGTTGAATGGGATCGAGTTGGCGATTACATGCAGTCTGATAACAAAGCAGTTAACTGCTAAATCTGCAAAAGGTCTGCAGAGTCCAGCCTCAGGTCTGAATCCAACTCCTCTGCAAATGGTGACGCAGTTGCTGCATGAGACCAACAAACCGACACAGGTGCTCAGCAACGTTTGTTTTATTGGAATAAACAGACCACAACGTTTCTGTTTTGTTTGCAGTGAACGAGATCATCGACAGGGACATCGGTGGCCTGGTTGGCGGCGACCAACCCGACCGGTACGACTGGGAGCCAAAATCCGGCGCCGGCACCTTACCGTTCTGCGGAGGCCCTCAGTAGCACCAGCGCTCTCAGGAACGTCGTTTTTCTTCTGCTGTTTGCACAAAGTGCTCCAAACTGATCTTCAAGTGCCTGAAAACGTCAGATGACCGTTTCCTCATCTGTCTCAGGAATTTTAGAGAGAAACCGACTCGTACCTCACAGACAAACCAAAGATTTAACTTTTCATGAGCGAATCGGAGGAAGATTAAAGGGCTGAAATGTAACTTTGTTATAATAATTCTAACAATCGGTAACGTCAGACGTAAAATAAGAAAATTCTGTTATTTATTGGCCAGTAAATTACAAATAATCTATTTTTGATACTCTGGATCTGATCCTCAAACCTGAAATCCTTCAGCTGATTTACATTTTTATAGCTTTGTTTTACACTCGTTTACATTTCCTTCGCCCGGTTTAACGTTGACGCTTCTCGACCGAACTGTTGTGGTGTGACACGGCGTTTTAGAAACATGTTTAAGGTTGAAGTAAAAAGAAAAACAAACTTGTTGTGTGTACGAGTCTTTTCTTTCAAAGGATTTCAGAGCCCGACGACCAACACGTGCGCTGAAACAGCAACGTTTCATTACAGGGAGGTCAGAGGTCACGGTTGGTAATATTCTTCTCTACAGGAACAACCAGAAGCTGCTTGGAGTTAAAGAATGACTCGCGCATGACGACAGCTGCTGCTGTGTTTGCAGCAGTAAAAGATTTTAGAAAAGAAAAGATGACGAACAAACGAGCTGCAGCAGAGACTTTTAATCTTTTCTAACACTCGTGTTGATGTCGTCTTTGGAGCTTCTGTGTTCAGCACCATGAAGTCTGAAGGACCAATAAGAGCAGCTATGGTTCAGTGTCCTGCCCTCGTGTGGCCGTAAGCAGCTGTAACGCTCTGCCCAGGCCCGATGACTAAAGCACATCTATATTTTCACATTTTAAGGCAAAACCTTTAAAGCCTTGAAGTAACAAAAGCTGCTGCTTGGTCCTTTTTTAACACGAGCTCGCCTCAGATTTTTGATCTTCTGACATCATGACGGGGTATAAATAAACCGGGATCCCACCATGATGGCGACGGCGAGCTTCAGGTTAGTCCGTCACACAAAGAGCTGCTGGTCTGGGTCGGTTTGAACGAAGCAGAATTCCTCCACGGCCGAGTCCGACCTGGATGTCCAGCAGCTGTCAGCGCAGGTGTAGACTAGCACCGTCCCAAATTCCAGCTCCACCCCTGCACCGCCGCGCTCCCCCTGCAGCAGGCTTACCAGCGCGGGCATCAGCTGCAGCTCGAATGTCCGGGATCCTCCGCAGGAGCCACACGCTGGCACCAGCTGCGCCACGTTGGACGGCGGCTCGGAGATGAAGAGCGGCTTCCCGCCGCGGCAGTAGCGCAGGATCTGCTGCGGACACACCGAGATCATCTTCATGAACCTGGAGAAGACGGCGTCTCCGTGTCGGGCTCCGGTCTTCTCATACTTCTCGTCCCCGCCTCCTCCGCTTCCCTCTAACTCCCCCACTGCCACGCCCTCCCGCCTCTCGTACTCCCTCAGCAGCTCCTGAGCGTGCTCCAGGTCGCCGTCCTCCCCGCACACATCCGTCTCCTCCACCACGCTGATGAAGAATGGACAGAAGGCGGTCACGTCCTCCTGGGAGTCCCCCAGACTGAGGTCACAAAGACGGCTGCTGACGTCCGTCTCACCACCTGTCAGGGGGGAAAAAAAAGAACCATAAGACGACCTCACCTGCCTGTCAGAAGGTAGTTCGCACTACAGCGCTCCCTGCTCTCAGTCTGTGACTCTAACAGGAGCTTCACTTTATCATTTATTAAAACCAGCGACTCAAAGGAGGCACTGAGCTCAGAGATGAGCTGAGCAATAGGCTCACTGTCTCAGACTTCCATACACTTTATTTTGGATTATTACAACCATAACGGAGAGGCCTGGGGAAAAGGAAAAAAATAAATAAAGGTGAAGATGGGGAGATGGTTAACAGGAAGAGAGGGGGAGGGGAAAATAGAGGAGAAGAGGGATGGAGAGAGACGCCTGCCGAGGAAGGAAAATAA